CAGGCAGCAGGCCCAGGGGATGCTCCAGGGCCCTAGCGAAGCTGGGCAATTAGCAGCGCCGAGGAGACCGTGGCGCCGGGCGGGCGGGCGCCCTTTGCTCGGTTCCAGGGGTTCCCGTCTCCACTGCGGGGCCATAAAACCGGGGAGCGGCACGCCAGCACGGGCAGCTGCCTTCAGCACTGCCGCCCGGTCAGAGGGCGTCGAGCGGCAGATAATGGGACGCGGCCTTGTCCCCGCGCCACGCCTCCGTCATGCGCTGCCTTACTCACCCGTCCCCTCCCTGCGTGAAGGGGCTCTGGGGAGCTGGTGGGGAGAGGCTCATCCAGAGCGTGATATGGGTGACACATGTTGGGCTGACACCTTCACCATGGGGCGATGGGGAGGGATGAACACAGCAGCCAACAAACTGTAGCATGTTGGGCCCCCAGGCAGCCACGGGGTAAATGGAGGCACGGAGAGTGCAGGCAGCCTGGCTGGCAGGCAGCACCGGGCAGGCAGCAGAACCCAGGGGTCTGGGCCAGTCCTGGCTGCAGGGAGCAGAGGGGACCAAGATTTGTTGCAGAGGAAGCCATAAGTGGTAGAGTCTAAGTCAACGTCTTCCCCAGATGTTCTCAACACCTATAAAATGTGATTAATGTTGATATGCTTGTCTGAGAAAAGGGAAGTTGTCCCCAAAAATGGGTGAAAGTTCATGGGCAATCACAGCAATCGGACTTTGCTCACCAGCCCCAGGCCCCTCCTGCCCCACTCAGCGGAGGAGGACAAAAACATTTGGCTAATGAGTTACGGAGCGCAACAGGTCCATCCCCAGGGTGGCGCTGCCATTGCTCACCGCTGTCCCCAATCAGGGACAGGAGATTTTGCAATCTGGGATGTTATTTCTGTGCAGTTGGAGTTTAAACTTTGCCACTTGGGTCAAGACACCACAGAGGAGGAGGAAGAGGAGGCAGCTGAGCTCGGTGTCCGCCCCACTCCCCTGCACATTGACGGTGTTGAGAAGACAGGACGGATCTTTGGGAGTGGATTCTCACACAGGTATGTCCTGGCTGCCGGTGCTCAACAGCCCCATGGGGCCATCAGGGCTCACTGGAAGGACTGAGGATGAAGGACAAGGTGCAATAAATCCCCCTGCCTGGATTGGCCAGCCAAACATCGTGGTAATGACAGTTGTCCCCAAACCTGGCTTGAAGGACACTTGAGTCAGTGCTTAACAGGTTGCGAAGGGCAGCTGCGTGATGGGTTGGGTGGAGTGGTGGGTTGGTTGATCAATCAATCAGACAGTTGACTGGTCAGTCAGTTGGTCAGTGGGTTGGTTATTTGGTCAGTCAATCAGTGGGTCAGTTGGCCAGCAGGTTGACCATTTGGTCTATCTCTTGATTGGTTCATTGATTTGGCTGGTCAACTGGTTGGTCAGCTGATCGATTAGTTGGGTTGTCAGTTGGCTGATCGGCCAGTTGGGTAACTGGTCAGTTGGCCCGTTGGTTTTCTCTGAGTCCGGGGGCTTGAGCAGTGCCTGGGGTGGCAGTGGCAGAGCGGGGCTGAGTCCCCTCCTCAGGGCTGGCCGTTGGCAGCAGTCTCCTCCCCCTCCGCTTGCCACCCAGAATGATTAACCTGATCTTCTGGAGCCATCACGCAGATGGGACTGGGCTGGACGGACGGGGGAGCTGACCCAGCCTTCTGTCTGGGTGCTCATCTCCCTCCTGCACTTGGGGGGCATGGTGGGGCTGGGGCAGCTGGGTGCCTGTGGGGAGCCCCTGGCTGTGCAGTTCTCTTGGGGGAAAAAATAGAGGATTTGGGAGTTTCAGCTGCTGGAAGAAGGTGGGGGACAGCCCACTGCTGTGCCCCTGGCCCCCTGCATGCCCGTGCTCTCCCTCCAGCACGTGTGCACATAGGGCTTTGCCAGATGTGCCCACGTGTGCTCACATACAAGTGCCAGCACATGTGTGTGCACGTGTTGACACACCCATGTCTGCGTGGGCACACACATGTATGTTGCATGGTCATGTGGTCACGTAGACACGCAGCTCTGCATGTGCGTGTGCCAGCAATGGCCACATACACATCCAGCCGTGCGCACATCCACATGATCACATGCGCAGTCACACCTGCACACACATGTAGATACACCTCTCCATGGTCCCATACATGTGTGGCCATGCCCGAACATGCTCCCTGCTCCCTCTCACCAGCCCCATGCCCACCCCACTATTCAGGGTGGCCCTGGGGCCGTACAACTAGGAGGAGTAAGGGAGGCGGGGGGGCAATCACAGGGACCTGACCCTGCCACCCCGCAGCCATGGCCTCTGGCGTGGGCAGCCTCAACAGCCTCGACCTGCTGGACCTCCTCTTCGACCGCCAGGATGGGATCCTCCGTGGTGTGGAGCTGGGGACGCCGCCAGGCGCCTGGCACGAGGACGGGGTGAGTCCCCCGGGCTGGGAGGGCCCATCCCCGCCTCATCCCCGGGTCTGACAGGAGAGCTCCATCGCCACACCTTGCCCGGGCACCCCATGGTGATGGTCGTCCGTGTCTCTGCAGCGTGCCCAGGATGGCGAGGACTTCCTCAGCTCCATCCTGGGCTCCGGGGACTCAGTGTCGGACTCGCCTGGGTGGTCCCCAGGCCACCGCCGCAGAGGGACCGCCTCTGACCAGCTCGACAGCCCCCCCGGGTGCTGTGATGGGGGTCCCAGTGAGGTCCTGTACCCCTACGGCAACTCCTGCCGGGCTCTGCCCCTCCCAGGGCGCCCTGAGGTCCTGCATCCCGAAGTCTCCATCGACCTGGGTGAGCCATGGGGGAGAGACTGGGCAAAGGACCAGGCTGGGGCCACTGGAGGGACTGGCAGGGCCGGGAGAGCTGAGGTCTTGTGAGGATAGTGAGGAAACTAGGGGAGCTGGGGGACTGGAGGGAACTGGGCAGACTGGGGAGAACTGGAGGTCTGGAGGACTCAGGGGGAGCTGGGGGGAATGGGGAGAGCTTGGGGACTGGGGTGAACTGGGCAGGCTGGCTTTGGTGGGGGAGACTGGA